AAAAAAAAAAAAAAAAAAAGGAGGAGGAGGGGGAGTACACGTGGTGGCAAAGAAGGAGACGAGGGGGAAAACGACAAAGGAGAGTGGAGTGGACGAGGAGGAGGAGGAGGAGGAGTAGACGGAGACAAAAAAGGACGACGGGGAGGAGGGGACGGGGAGGAGGGGAGGAGGGGAGGAGGACGACGACGGCGGCGGGAAAATAGGGCGCAGTTGACGAGGGGGAGGATGAGGTAGAGGAGGAGGAGGTGGAGGAGGAGGAGGAGGAGGCGGAGGAGGACGAGGAGGAGGAAGAAACACATGCGTGTGTGTGTGTGTGTAGGAGGAGGAGAATGGCGACCACGAGGAAGAGTGTGTGTGTGTGTTGTCATATTCGCTATACACTCAAAAAAAGCATGACTGAGCCAGACTGTTTCGTCGTACTTTCACAAAGAGTGTGTGCGTGTGTGTGTGTGTGTGTGTGTGTGTGTATGTGTGTGTGTGTGTGTGTGTGTTGTCACATTTGCCATACACTAAAAAAAAGCACGACTGTGCCAGACTGTTTCGTCAGACTTTCAACGACTCATCAAGAAGAGTGTGTGTGCGTGTGTGTATGTGTGTGTGTGTGTGTGTGTGTGTGTGTGTGTGTGTGTGTGTGTGTGTGAGAGAGAGAGAGAGAGAGACATACATGCTTCACGTGCCGCTCGCCCTGCTCCACGCGCCTCCCTGCACGCTGGTCGCTGCACAGCTGCTCACGCCCGCGACGCTCGTCCACGTGCCGCGCGCGCTTCTCCACGCGTTCACCTGGCGATGACAGAGTTGCAAGATGCGGATGGTCGAGGACGACGCTTCTCCACGCAGTAACGCTCGACGACTGTAGTGGTCGCGAACCCCCCCCCACAATGGTTCAAAAAAAAAAACAAAGAAACAACAAAACCCGCCTGTCCACTTTCCGGTCGTTCCGGTTCATGGGCGAGGGCGGCAAAAAATAGGGCGTGAATTTTTTTGGGCGGCCCAGGGCCTGAATAAAAGCCATGGACCGCCCCAAAAAAATTTGCCCCTTGGGCTGGGGCCCTCACATCCGGACCAAGACTTGGACCCGGACCCCGGACCCTAGACCACGGATGGTCCGGATCCCTGTCCGGTGGTCCGGATAGTAACCATGAAAATTACAAACTGAGCCCCTAGATGAGGACACCTACAACAAGTTGCAGGTTGCAAGGGACCACCTCCAAACGTATTTTGGACAGCCAAGCAAAGGTGTAGAGGGTGCACGCACATATACGGAAGCAAGACACAGATGGCACAATGACCAAGTCCTTCTTCAAGAAGGCAAAAGCAAGAGCGAGACACGCCATGGTGTCTTCCCTCAAACACCTCTTCAACCCCTCCCTCCCTGAAGCGTCCATCGTGTATACCATAGTGGACTATGCAACCCAATTATACCAAAGACTCTATACCTTAGAAACTGCACAATGGGGGGCCCAACAACTAACCACGACACGTGAGAAGATGCTCCACCAGCTCTCCGTGATGCTATCATCAACACAGAGGCACCGCCTCGATGCACCCCTTACGACTGACGAAATCTCAGGGGGATGGAGGACGAGATGACACCGGGTTTGAACTCCTTCCCAAAGAAATTTTGGCTACACCATTGGGATATCTTCAGACCAAGCATAGCGGAATATATACAGTCATTTGGGGGCCTCATTAGTCAAGGGTTAACCATACTCCTATACAAAAAATGGGACAATACAAAAATCCGCAATTATAGACCAATCACACTCCTTCCCCTCCCATATAAGATGGTCGCAAAGACCCTCACCAACAGGCTACTACCGTACATGAACAATCTCATATTTCAAGATTAGACGGGGTTCATACCCCAAAGGAACATCCAAGACAACATGCTGCTGGTCAACAAAACCATTAATTACGGCAGACAACACAAGAGGGAGGTGGTGGTGTTGTTCATAAGCTTCGAAAAAGCATACGACCATGTCGATTGAGATTTTATGGACTACTGCTTGGCCAAAATTAATTTTGGCGATGGGTTCAGATTTTGAGTATCCATAATGCACATATCAGCAACTACCAACATCCTCGTGAATGACCCACCTGACTCAGCAACTACCAACATCCTCGTAAATTACCCACCTGTCTCTACCCTTCGAGTTCCACCAGTCGGTCAAGCAAGGGGACCCCCATAGCTCCCCTCCTCTTCTTACTAGTGATGGAAGCCCTCGCCGCTATGATCTGTGCTAACCCAGAGATAGAAAGGATAAACATCCCTAAACTTCCTCCCAACCTCACGCCAGTCACATCTCAATTTGCTGACAATCTAACCATCCTAATAAAAATCACTCAATCATCTCTACAGATACT